AAGCCTGCAAGAACTCCTAGGGAGGCTGAAGGGTGGAAGTACCTAGTGATCTTGAGAGCTCTCAATGATGTCTCAGCTTTGCCACCACCTCGCCAGTCACCAGATCAGCAGAATTGATTCCAGCATGTGGAAGGAATCCAAGTGTTTACCTCCCCTAGAATGGCCATGAGTCCTGGAAAATTTCCCTTTACTCTCCTTTTCAGAGGATGGAGAGAGAGAGAGAGAGAGAGAGAGAGAGAGAGAGAGAGAGAGAGAGAGAGAGAGAGAGAGAGGGAGGGAGCGTGGGAGGAGGGAAAGGAGGAAAGGGGAGAGGGGGGAGGAAAGGGGGAGGAGGAGAAGAGAGACACATTTGTGCCCCATGCATAGATTATGACCTGGGCATTGACTGGTCTGTCAGTTTCTCCAATCCTCTTCGGGGACTGTCATCAAAGCAAAGGACAGTGGGTTGGACAGACAGGGTTCCAGGCAGAGGCAGCCTCTAGTGCTCCCAGCGGGCACAAGTCAGGGAGAGCAGTGAAAAGTCCAGAGCCAGCTATCTGCCACCTTCCTCTTACCTCTTTGGACTTCTTTCTCCTTTTCTCTTCCATTGCAAAGGTAGAAGGAAAGAGTGGTTCCAGGAACTGAGAGCCTGGGCTGCAGCCCTTAGTTGCTTGTTTTTAAAGTTTTATTTTATTTTAAATTAGCATATAATAATTGTACATACAGTACTCAAGGGGTACAATGTCCCCTCACTCACTTTAAAGGAGCTGTTTATTTCTCTGCCTCACCCCATGCCCCAAGTTCATATCCTAACCCCACCATGCCTCAATTTCCATATTTGCCAAATGGGAGTAATGATATTACCCCCTCCACACACACTATAGGACTATTGTGACAGCTGAGAGTAGCTGCAGGAGCTCCCTGGTGAGCAAGAGCAACACAAGCCTCCTTTCCGTACTTTCTAAAATAAGCTTGTGATGCATTTATTAAAATATAAAAGAAAGACTAATGGTGTGTCTAGTACACCTAATCTATTCTTAACTTAAATCTGCCTGCAGTGGAGGAGAAAATTAGATCACGATAGGATGTGGAGATGAATTTGCAAGTACTATCAAATCCCAAATCTTCATGTTAGCACAGTAGAACCATGTCTTGGCTGTAATGTGAATCCTTTAAAATTCCACAATCATGTTGACATTTCCAACTTTCAGAAAGGATTACCTGCTGTTCAAGATAATAGAGACTTTCTATCATTAAAAGGTGGGAGTTCCTGCCCTTTAAAATACTCTACATTGCTTTGGAATGCAAAGTAATTCTTTTTTTTTTTTCTTTCATTTTCTTTAAAATAGTAGGTTTATTGTCCTAACGTGATTTAGTTAGGATAAAACTGATATAAGTTTGCACTTCCTAAAAACTGTTACAACCAGGGAAATGAGCATAAAGTAGATCAGTAGCATCCCTGATGCATGCTGCTGGTTGCTTATTATTCAGAACAGATTGTGATAGATAGATAGATAGATAGATAGATAGATAGATAGATGCATACACATACATAAATACATGTACAACCTATGCATAATATATACAATACATATTTGATACTATTTCATTAAGCCCATTAAGTCTGTTTCCCAGGTGAATTTCTAAAAGTTATAGGTAGGTAGATATAGATATAGTCATATATATATATATATATTTTAAGTATATATGTATGTGTATCTGATACACATATGTAATTTTTGATAAATTCAACAGAAATGGAAATATAATTGCTTGATGAAATGGCATCGGACAGCTAGTTGCTAGGAAGAACCAACATACAGCAAGAGTAATGATAAGAGGAAAACTGGTTTCTACAAGGGAAAAAATAATGCATTACAATGCAGCTCTCAGCAAGGGAAACGGATCTCCCTCTCTACCATCTTTCACCAAGTTGGGGGTCTCTGCATTTCAAAGGATGGCTGTCTTTATGCGCCCAACCCAGTGGGCACTATGCCAAGGTGCCCAGCTGAGCTTCAGAGGGGCCCACTGGATTCCCAGCAGAAGGAGGCCGTATTCTTGAGCTCTCTGCTTTCCGAGACAGAAGCGCTGGGTCAGAAGGGAACTAGCAGGCAAGAGCATCTCTGCTGACCTGAGTTTTCTTGGAGTCAACAGAGCAAAGAAAAAAATTGATTCTGAGAGAATAGGAATAAAGGAAATTAGAAATCAACTGGGGGGTGAGACTCGGTGAAGTCAGTGTGAGGACAGAGGAGGCTGTGCTCATGCCAAGGGTGGGCTCTGCTTGTCGATGCCATTGCATTAAATGGGCAGAGTGGAAGCAGGGGCTCTCATGCTGCTCCAGCTTAGACGGGGACCACAGCTACACACAGAGAATGGCATGGCTCCTAAAGGGAGAACAAACACCATCCAGCAAACAATGGATCAGGGAAGGGAGCGGCAAGGCTGCTGAGAGCTTTGCACACTTTCAGTTTTGGCTGAAAACAGCAAGGTCTTGTTGACAAAGAAGGCAACAGGGGCAGACTCTCCCAGATGGTATTCAGATGAGTGCTGTCCTTTGTGTGAGCAAGGTCCCCGGGGCTGGAAGAGAGGTGTGAAGTGAGCCCAGGTATGTATACTGGGAGCAATCTATGAGCTGCCAGATAGTAGAAGACTCTACTGAGCCCGTTCAAGATCAGAGTCCTTCAAAGTGGTTCTCAAACTTGAATATACAAAAAAGAAATTGGGGAGCTCCAGCAAAGTGTAGATTCTTGGAATCCATGGCAGACCTGGGCAGGAATCTGCAGGTGTGACAGGGGCCCTAGGGACTACAATTCAAAGGACAAAGACGGGAACAGGAATATCCAGTGGAGACCCATTAAGAGCAGACTCCCAGGCTGAGCTCCAAAGAGCTCCTCTTATTGACTGCTTATTAGCAACCTCCATCTGGGGGCTTCTGCCTTCATTTTACTCATCTTCCTCCAGGCTGAACACATCATTTTTTGCCAAGAACATGTTTCTCTTCTTGTAATTTCTAGTAGGATGAGACATTCCACAGTCTCCCTCATTATCAAGCCAGGAACAATGATGGGAATAAGTGTCAATGCAGTCTCAGAAACATTCTGAAAAACCCTACTCTGCGAGGACCCAAGGGGAATGGGCACAGAGACTTGTACCCCAAAGACCTGGTGTATGAGCACCAAGGGGAGGTAGCAGGGGTGCACCCTGCTCACAGGATCACCTGCCATGTCGCTGTTCACAAGGTTCCACAATCTAGTACAAGGCACCCAAGCAGGAACACAATGTCCTATCAGACAGGGCTGCCTGGAACAAGCTCCTAAAGTCATTATAGAGAAGCTGTCTACTCAGCATAAGCCACATAAGGCAACAAGCCCTCACTTCCCCATTGACATCTGTCTCACATGAAGCCACAGCAGCCTGAGTCTGCAGAGAAGCCAGGTCTGGGCTCCCACAGCTTGTGGACTCTCTGAGCTCAAGGCAGGTAGCTAGCGGGGGTGGGCTTCACAGAGCAGTGTGTCTGCTGCCATGGCAACCCGCAGTCAACCAGGGATGGGGAAGTAGGTGCTTTGCTTAATTGAAAGCCAGGCAACATTTTTACACAAACCACAAGGAAGCTAAT